TTACATGAGTCATTTATCAAGTCCCGCTAATGTTCGTCGACATCCCGACGGGTCAGCTGTCACCAAAATCTTAGTAGTTCCTTCAACAAGATGATAGGAAGCCAACAATAGTACTGGGTGGGTGTATTGAGGTCAGTAGATTTATGACTAAAACCTGCGGAATCGTTCCTTTCCACTGACGTGTCAAAGAAATGTCCGTTAGGATGGTGGAGAGAGTGCCATTGCTCTACCTTCCTTAACAATAGGACTTGAGTTGTTATGTACACCAAACTAAATTGCGGCGAGATTACCGGCTTTAGTTGCTCAAAGTTGAAAATTTTAGTTGTTAAAGCGATATAGATGTTTCGTGTTTACGATAAGAAGTACTTGTTGTGCTGTGAAATCCAATTGTCACGCCCTGTCGATCGTACCTTTACTTTATGTTTGGCATTGTGGTGACTATAGCAACCGCTTATTCTGCTGTGTTTCCTTACGAGTGTACGTATCGCTGATTCCATACGGTATAATCATACTTAAAGAAAATATGATTAATATGTCAGGTATTCTAAAAAGTTTACACTACTTATGATAAAATGATACAAATATGCATGCAAAGTCCCCGCTCGTTAAACTATTTCTTTCGTAAGGATAAGCTGAAGGAACGTTAGGTCAGCATGTCAAACGGTCTAAAGAGACGACCACCCGGAGGCGAATTTATCAAAAACGATACCAAACAACCTGATGTTGAGGTCTTGAGAGTAGAATTTGGAAATCGTAACAAAAGACTGACTTTCTATAGACAAAATCATGATCGCGATCGAGCGTGCTGGGACTTCACTAAGCAATTTCTTAAACGTGCTGGACAGTAGCCTTGACAAGATGCGGGCCACATTCTTCTTGGCGATCTATATGCTTTCGAGCAGGGGCGCGCAGCTTGAGTGCTTTCAGTTGAGAAGAAACACGAACTTACTGTATCTATGCCAGATCCTGATTGCATCAAAGTGACGATATTTATGACCTCTTCAGAGTGACACAAATCTAGTTACATAACTTTACCGCGATAAGGAGGCTTTAATTTATCCATGAGATCACAGACAACCATTGAGCTGCTATCAATTCTGCTTCGGTATATTTTCGATCTAAGCACAGCAGTTTCCTTTCGTTGGCTCGGGCAAGCTGGGGTACATAAATATTGGCTGAACATGAAAAGGCATGCTGTTTGCACACACCAAAGCAGCAAACTAGTAGTGCACGCAAAAGTACATTCCGTGTTATATAGTCTCGATCGACTTTGCTAACAGCGCGATGCTACAGTTCTACGGCATTTTTATAATAATTTGATAAAACTATCAAGCCAGTCAGTGTCGATTAATGCAGTGTAATCACAATAATTAACCTTATGAACGCTAATAGACCTACCAGCCTGAAACCGTGTCGGATTTCAAATCGATTGTGGCATCTTGATGTTGGGTATGCCGTCGCTCAAACGCGCGATCGCCGGATCAATTGGCCGAATCATTATTGCTTTGTAAATTTACAAAGAGGTGTTGGTCTCACCGTATGGATTCCCAAGTCGCAAAATAGTGTAAGGTGCATGTACACCATAATACTGTACGTAACCCGTTACACAAGCAACCTCGCATCGGAAAAATACAGTAAGCGTGTGATACTAAAAACGATATATTTGGAAGGCATCACTCGTATCGATAGGGACAACATTTGGCAGTGAATATTGTCCTTCTCTTCAAATAATTTCTGCATGACCGGTCGCGGCGCCAGGCTACCCGCAACATATGTAAACTGGGCAAACCATCGTTAATATCTGTGTAGCCTTTGGGTGTCTCGCTGCATACACAATTTAGAGAAGAGTAATGTACCCATTCCAACTGCGCCTACCTGGCCTCTTCAGTACTGTGTTTTCTGCTCGCGATGCCCTCGTTGGGAATGACAAATGCAATACTTGGGGAAAAAGTGATATCATAAGCGAGCGTTAATGATGTATATTTAGTATTACTCTGGATTATACTTGTTTTCTTGATGGATGTTATTCTTGAAATAGAAATCAGCTAAGTACCTAGTTACTACAGGGGCTCTCAATTTCGCTCATTATTGGAGCGATTAAACCTCCCCTCTTTGCGTTTGTTGGCTTAAAGTTGCTGAGTCGAAAATTCCTCTTTGATGGTACTGGTCGTCTATTCAACGACCGATTTTTGATCGGCTTTATACTCTGTGAGGATGCCCACGAGCGTACTCATTTGTTCAGTTAACCCAAGGATATAACACAGATGGCGGCGTCAGATCCGGAAACGGTAATTGCTCGCCTGGAAGCTTTCACCTGCTAAGAGAATGTACTGGTGGAACACCTCCAGAAACGCCTTCATCTGGCGTCTGAGAAACACATTCGGTCCCACCGTGATACCTTACGTTAGGCGTACTACCCTTTGGGAGAAGGAATCGGGAAACACTCACTTTTGTGTAACAGAGGTTTAAAATGGTCAACATGTCAGTCATGCATCAATAAGATCGTCAGCACGCCGTGCAAGCGGTCATCAGACTTGGAGGTCGCGCGCAACAATGGGCACATACAGGCAGTATTGCTGAAAAAAAACATTGTCAAAATGGGAAGTGCTGAGGTGACATTCGTCGCGGGTGTTTTTACCACCTATCTAGGCTTCTCGCTTGCGTTGAAATTTGAGACTGGGGGTGAGGATTAGCAAGTATCAAAGAGACGAGAGTTCACTCTACTGCGATGGAGTAAAGGGTTGCCATTGCCATGGAGGGTTTCTGCAGTGGGGCTGCCGTAGCTCTTTGCCTAGAGGAAGCTAAGCTATGGTCACAGACCTTACGTTCTTTACAAGAACCAGTACGAGTGTAGCGGATCGCAGTCCGCTACATCCAACAGTACTTAAAATCTTAAACAAGGTAAAGAGGCTTTTCCATTCAAAATTGAAACTGTATTGAATTGTTTCATTTGCGGTAGAGCCGCCTGTAATGAATCCTTAGGTCTTCCTAATTAAACAGTAAGACCTCATTAATATGCAGTATCACCGGCAGTCCTGCCACGTAGTGGCTTCTTGTTATGGTGTAACCACACCACTGTGTGATTACACTAACTATGTCAAACACACCTATGTACGGTCGCACAATCTCGTTCGACCCGCCCTTTTTTACAAGGGTGCATGTAACCCTGTTATATGACAGGATCAGGAATTGACGGCTAAAGGGCTGGGTTCGGTAATCACTCGCCTGAATATGCTCACCAGCTATGGGAATACACTACCAAGAAATTTCTAGATGCGCGCCAACCGCACATTGTCTCAAAAACGAACGACAATCATGCGTTATCGCTCATGTTTCCGTTAAGAGAGAAGTTAGAGAGATACACTTTATTTGGACAAATAAATCGCGATGGCCATGAAATACGTTATGTTTCAAATGTAGCAACAGCATGTCGAGCTTTCACTCTCCAAGCTCGGAAGCATCGCACAAAATTTTGAATCCACTTTTTACACTTTTTGGCACACATGAAATTTTTTTTGAATGACATTTGTCGCGGGTGGTCATTCTTTCTAAACCAGTCGCGCAAAGCGCGCGTGATATTCCTGTCCACTCGACAAGGGAGATGATAAGTCATAGGCTATATATCCAAGAAAACTCAAATTACCGAACTGGCGTTAACATTTTTCATGGTCACTGAAGATATGTGACTCGCATTAAGACTTCGGCATCGTTCGAGGCAGCAGTTTGTATATTATTGAAGTCGTAATAAGCATTCCTTGCCGTGCTGGCTGGATAGAGTAATAGAAGTGTAAGCCTATGAGTACCTTACTGCGAACGATCTCTAAGCCTTCGAGCATCTCCATAATAATTCCGATGTTCGTCCATTTATCAAAAGCAGATGAGCCAAACGTGCACCATTTTGCTCTTGGCTGAGAGGTATGAACGGTCAGGCTCGAACGCAAGGTCCCCCGATAAATCCTCATGAGAGAACGTCAAGCCTTACTATGCATATTACAAAAGAAGCGTTTTTTTATCTGCTTTATAATAGAAGCCGCCTTTTTAGCGAGGTGTGGCTTGAAGTCCAGGATTTTGATTTTTGAAACCACGTCACCGGGCTTTGTTAAACACGGAGGTCATGATATTCTGGTGCGTCGATCAGTACGGGACTAATAAATACAATTGACAGTAATCGGAACATATAAAATGTTGAACATGATACGATATATGTGCGTCGTGCGATGGGAACTAATGAAAGCGTCGAAATTAATGTTAAATAATCATGTTAAATTCGAAACCTTTGTCATTGTGAAACGTGATCTCACTTAGTTCTGAATTTAATCCATGATACTATCCTGGATATGGAGTGTCTGAAACGCCACGAGTTTTGGATCAAGTCGAAGTCGATAAACTAAGTGGCACGCAGTATTTATCCGGGGGAGCTTTAGCAACGCAAAATTCAGTCTTTGCAAACAAAGTCCTTTTGATACGGGCAAACATATTCGATGGCGTATGTACCAGTACCCAAATTGTCAAAAATCAGCAGATTTGATAGTTCAAGGTGGCTTGAGCATAGCTCAGAAGGTAGAAGCAGTAGTGAGGCGCGGTCTAAGAATGACACAAAGAACTGAAGTCTGATATCGGGGCTTCCCCAGTATAGCTCTGTTGAGACGGGAATGTGTGGCTGGATGTTGTGATCTCCAAAGTATTTCTCTTGTAAGATTTCAACAAAGAGATGTCAGCGAGTACCCCTAAGACCAGGGCCAGCGGGGGAAAAGCTGACGGGATTTGGCATTCTACCGTCTCAAATTTGATAAAGTGGATGGATGACCGCAAGTCATGCGTATGAAGACCAGACCCAGAATTTAAAAATCATTGATACGCTGGAACGGTTATGCTGCATAAGCACATGCCCACTTTTAGCCGCAGTGAAGCCCCGTCGGTACGTGTAAAATTTTCAATTGCGTTCAAAGTGACCGTGATAGCACAAGGAAATTTAAGTCTACTCCAATTATTCCGCCAAGTGCACTTATGGAGCTGAATAGGTTCTCCTTAGGAATAACACGCTAGAAATTTCAGGACGGTAAAGTCACTATAATGGTACGGTAGGAGAAGCTGAGCTCGTCATGAACCATGGTTATAAACTTCATTGAGAAATGTTGTAAAGAGTTGATTGCAAAGAGTGGAACGGATATCCAATAGGATCATTTGAACTCATTTAACTTTTGCCAGAAGAATATCACAACATGGGTAAAGAAGACCCTTCACGGGTGGTACAGCGGGGTTCATGATATTGTGATTGTCATCGGACAAAATATTACAAAAAAAAAGCTAACCCGCCCAGGTGCTGGCTTCAAGCAGCCGGTGTAGATCACCGCCACATGTTCAGGATGGTCAATACTGTTTCAAACTCACGTACTTGCAGAGAGATTGCATTAATAGATGTATTCCTTACGGACAATACAAAGCTACACGCTGGTTTCTAGTCTATGAATTTTTTTGACTTATTTGTTAAGTCCTCTACTGCTTGTTCGGGCAACTTCTATCAGCGCCTGTATATGAACAGACTTTAATTCTAACAATGATTTACCCGAAAATCTACATGATAAAAAGCAACAAGAACAAAAGCAATGAATGGAACAAGAGAGGGTAGAAAGCATAGTATCAGCCTCAGCAGATTAAAAAAATCTAATGCCATCATCCATTGGATTGTAGGATATCATAAATTTGAGCTCACCTGACCCAAGACTCTGCTCAGGGATGAATCTGATTCAAAAATCTCAGTAAGACCCGCAGTTCTAGTGTGAACATTAATTAAGCAGCAAACGACGCCAACAGTCCTCAACATGACACAATGTACGCAATAAATGGGTGAAATGAGCGGTATGACAATTCCATCCACAACATAATTCACTCAGAAGACTCAAACTCGAATTGAAAGCAAAGCGCTAATGGCACGCTGTACGTTGTGCTGCTATGTGGCTGCACGATTGTTGTTTCATTTCGGACAAACGGCAGATTTGGATGAATTGCTGAGCAAGACGCCGTGGACAACAGAGGTCATCGAGTGCACAGTCTCAGATCACCCAGTCTTTCCTATTTTTCACGGCATAGTTGCTAATTTCTGGACACCTCCACACCTCGCATAGAAAAAGCTTTGAGTATTTGAGAAAATGCTAGCTAAGTCAACTGACTAGCCACCCCACCCAAGCGCCGAATCGAAAGTCTCTTAAAGAACGAACAATTTCTGATTCACTGGTAGTGTTTCATAATGAGAGCTAGCTTAACGCGGTACTAATAATCAAGTCAAATCGATTTACCATCTATAATTATAGTCTCTATATAATACAAAGCGTGATGCTCGCGGTCCATGTGCTCACAAACCATTCCTTTGCGACCCTTGACAGTTCTGCGCGCTTATTGTCATACTTCAAGATGGTACTTCACAATGGTATTTTGAGCTTCGCCTTAAGCCCGAGGTACATCAGTGTACGTACCAATTATTTCCCCACCCAGATAAAAACTTCACCAAAATAATGATACTTTTATTTAAGTAGAGGAATTTGCATTCCCAATTGCGCTTACAAGAGCCAGATATTACAGCGTTCCTCACATCCGAAGTTCTCACCTATTTTCTATGTGCAGTGTATTGGGCCGTCCAAAACGACGCGGTACATGTGGCCAACGTCTTCAAGACAGGTTTAACGATGTGTATTGCTATAGAAACAGTCACAGTGATCTTTTGCGTTTTGACCCGAATCTTGCGAGCTCACCGAAACTACAAACTACACAATTTTCCTTCAACGAAGACATATCTGAGAATAAAGCTCTTAATCCAACTCGCCTCGCACTTCCACTAGTTTATTGCTTCGTTATGTTCCTACGACAAAGATTGCGACAACATTATACCGCTGTACTGGCGACAAGGTCCAACTCGTTATCCACCATCTATACTTGAACAGTGAAATTTGGCGGGGCCGTCAGACACCCGTCAATTGCTCGGTCGGCGAACAAAGCGAGCGCTCTTATAAAGCGTGCAGTGACGGCTTCACGACTCGTAGGTACCACTTTCAGTAGTACCGCATACAGCTGGAACTGCTGCGATTAAATTTTCAGTTTGTGCTGGCTAATCGGGTATGGCAAAAGCTCCAAATATTTTGTGACTCAGCTTGCGCAATATGTAAAGAAGTTCTGCCCCCTTGTCCTGTCTTACGGTGATACAAGCTAGCATCAACAAAGCGATGTTTGAATAGAGCGGCGTCTTAGCCTAAATTTGCAAAGCGCAAAGCGAAGCGCCAATTTCAAGGCGAACACTCGCCCTGACTTGAGTCCAAACAGTTAAAATTTACAACGCCGCAAGGGAAATCGTGCCGAAGTGTATTCATAGACTCATATCTTTTCTAGAAAAGATGGTATTTCCTCCAATTTTACCACATATCCAGTTATCACAGATGATTCATTCTCTGTTCCTCACGAAAGCAACAAAATTTGCATTAAGGACAAGGCTTGCAGCAAATGACCCTCATGTGACTAAATTTGGTACCATTTTTCGACTGTGGCGGCACGTTTAATTTATTGGCTTAATGTGCCACCACATCCGATAAATTTCTCTTTTCTATACACTTGCGGCGCTCTCGAATCAAACGAAACGCATGTGATTTGATATCTCGGCTGCTGACAACGTGACGAACGTTTGATTGTGTGAACTGTTGCCGCGCTAAGCGATTCGAACCTGGATCGGCCCTGCAAAAGCTCAGCTACAGGGACAGTCAGCATCTTTATTTTTTCTCTCCAGAAAACTTCGCATTTAATTGATTCGTAAGATCAATTTGATGATACAGCATGATTACAGCCACTTGTCTCCAATGACGGGCTCATATTTCGTTATTGTTCGTGGAAGTAAGCTTAAACTTCTGTCTGGCTACGACCATGAAAAATTATTTGTAACGAGGGCGTAGCCCAATTAAATAGATTGCGGACAGGGCATCTGAATGAAAGCACGCAAGTTCAACAATGTTTGTTTCATCCATTACAATGTAATGTATGTTCGTCTACCTATAACATCTGTTTGTTCCTTTACACAATTAAACATCCAGCTATAGTGTCACGTGCTCGGTCTATGACGCTCAATATGATTACAATGGAATCGTCATTTTTTGCTACAAAGTGTAGCCAGACTGATATCAACAAGTCGAATTGTATCGACAGCCCCCCCATTATCGAAGCCACTTCTTGGCGATATCAAGGGAAATTTGGGCCGATCAAACCATTTATATAAACTGTGGTGAGTGTTGTTGGAGGCATGCACTGCGTCGTTCATGAAAATAAAAACAATGGTGACATGCAACAGTCACTTCGCGAGTATTCTCTGGAGAATTTGTCACATCGAAAAATTATGATTCCACTGACCATTATCGGAAGATGATCTGTGATGAAAAGATCCTACGTGGTGCTCAACACATCGAAGTGTCAACTAAAATTTTGCTGAACAGCGGGTTCCTTGATTTGAGACAGTGAGTTCGTCAAGATATGATGGCGAAACAGCATGTCAATCGTCCAATTTTCATAACTTAAACGATACTGGTGCTGCTGACGACATCGAATGATCCGTCCTTCTCAAAGTCTACAAACATCACATCTGATATCCGGAAGTTTTTCGAAGAGATGCAAAAAAAGGCTAGGCTAATGATCAACAAGCATTTCGTCGGCAGCGGCGGACTGAAATAAGGCGTCACCGCATGCGCCGAGGGATTGTCCCATTGGCACATTTTGCACGTGAGCACACAAGTACTTTTAGCGCGCACTCCATCGTAAGTCTTACCTCTTTTGTTGTAAACATATCGCGTACTTCGTACTCTCGAATAAGGGATAGCCGAACAGACACTTTTAAAAGCGACATCTGAGCAAAAACGCTCTTGTATTCCAAAGTTATCACCAATGCAGCATATTTTCTGTCTGGCCCGTATAATGAATGTATAACATCACGTGTAGGCGACAACACCAGTGCAGCGGGGCTGCTGTAGTCCGTTGCTAAGAAGAAGCTAATCTAAGGTCACCGACCCTACGTTTTTTACAAGAGCCAATTCGAGTGTAGCGGATCGTACCTCCCAGAGTTTCCCAGAACCTTGACCAAGAATGATGAGCTCTTTTGTTCAATAATGAAACTGAATATAACTGTTTCAGTTGCGGCTGAGCCGTCCATATCTAAAACCTAGGTTTTCCTGATTAATATAGTAATACCGAATTAATATAGTAAAATCAGATTAATATGCATGACTCCTGCCACATAGTGGCTTCGTGTCATGGTGTTGCCACACCATGGTGTGATTACACCAACTTGAGTAATCCAGACCTATGTACGGTCATACCATGTTGTGTGACCCGCCCTTTTTATACAAGTGTACGTGTAACCCCGATACAACCATCGTACTTCATATTCGAGGAGACGCGATAGCACATCCGCCGCCACATCATGCCGGTTCAGATCACACTTTTCTGCGATCGAATGTCCGAAGATAAACGATTACTATCTTTCCATTCTCTATGAAATAGTGGTGAAAAGTCGTGATGCACAACGAAGTATGGTGTGTATGAATCGCGGAGAGCGCGACAAATTTACTTTCAGCTTGTCAAGTTTTCGTAATGGAATATAGCGTCGCGACATGAAACGTCTCTGCCACAATAGCTTGGCGTGATTCAAGCGGGTTAACACGTTTATATCGTTTTGCAACCGTTTGTAATATTGCAGAGCCCATTTAAAGTGCCGAAGCGGCGTAGACGACATGAAATAACCAGTTCGAATTCGGTCAGGAACACGCATGAGTCTATTTTTTCACAGCCGTGAAGATCTTTCCTTCTGCCAATCTCCAGCAACATTGGTATTCTTTTTGGAGATATTGGTGAAGAGTCATGCGATTCTGACATAATTAGCTCGGATTTAGTTGGTCAGGCCAATCCCCTTCCCTATATTCATTTGCAACAAAAGTCAAAGTATGTCGAGCTTGATCTTTGCTGGATCTGCTCGCACGCCATTCTTCCCAGTTACGCACCTCAGAAAGAGGATTTCGTCGACTCACTGGTGATCATCGTGTTAAGCACTTACTCGAATAATGCTCGTAATAATTGTGCGTATCCGTTTCTCGTGCCTTGAACGACTATGGACAGATGCATCGTCATGAAGGTTTCGTGCATAACTACGATGTGGCCAGAACAGCTGCGTCATAATACGAGTGGGTATTGTTATTTAAGCATATACAGTTCGCCACTTGTCGTTAGAAAAACTGACACATATTATCTCTCTCGTACCATATTCTTCAGTGCTCAGACGAAAAGACCACTACTGTGCATACAATATTTCATTTGAGGAATCATCTCAATTTCATGATGCACCATTGATGTGTGGGCAACACATGTGGGGGCCGCTCGTCCCGCTTCGAGATAATTCTTTAGAAAAAATAAAAAGATTTATATTTCCTTGAGGATATCCGCCCGACTCTTTGTTCAAAGGCCACAGTGAGTATCCTCATTGGCGGGCACATTTAGGCTGTAGAATAAGCTCAGTTCCCCCTCCGCTGCTGATTATATCAATCCATCAGAGGTACAAGCTGGAGGCCGAGATATGCGATCGCTATCTTTCGCATTATCCAGATACCGCGACTCCTACCGCTTCTACATTCCCAAATTTGCTCTAGGCACTCAGCTAGTCGAATTGAACGATCCCATGTCTCACAGCAACGCTATCGCAGCTTCATACTCACCAAAATTGCGCTATTGTTTTCCTGTAAAAATGGATGCATTACTTCCCGAAGCATTACTAGGAGAAAGGTACATGCATCCGGTTTTCAAACCTTCCAATAGGTCCATGGATCATGGGCTTTCAACAGCGCCATAACAATGGTAAGATCGTATCTTCATCGAAGTACCTATGGCGAGATGGCATATCAAAGTCGTCAAAGCCTACAGGAAAGTCCAATTCAACATATGACATGTCCTCATCGCAAGACGCACGGATATTATATCCGTAACCATCACCTTTTATTCTTTAACCATCTACTCTTTTGACATTCACACGTCGTACGGATCACAAAGTACAACTGATTCTATCGAGACTCTCAACACCTTGACAAAGCACGAAATGTTGATAGTGACGACGAACAACTATCAATTATATGCTCGCCTTTCGTAAGGAGTCGCTTCTTTTCTTTTTTGACTTCATTGACCACGACGTCCACGATGTACAGCGCAACCCAGCCCATTCCCAGTAGATGGATCAGTGCCAACAAGGACTTGATTTTTCCTGGGAGGGTTCGTTGGACAATCCTGCGCGAAAATTGACCCTCATACCTCAAACATTTAATTATTCTACAGAGGGAGCAGCTCCAAAAACCGTGGCGATTCTCGGCAGTCAGGAGATTGCTATCATCTTCCTTATTCTGGTTGACGTCCGTCGTCATATGCGGTGAAACCACCTTTTATTAATTTTAGTGACTGCAAAAATTAAAAAATATTATGACGGCATTATTTGTGCTCGCCTGTCTGAACCATATATCCTGGTTGTGCCAATTGATCCAGCGGCCGCGCGTTTTGAGCAACGGCATACCCGGGATCAAGGCATTTGAGGATCCAATGTAGTGTCAGACTGGCAGATCTCTAAGCGTCCATAAGTTTAAATAGTGTGATCGAGCTATCCCATCAACATTGAATAGCTAGTCACTTTTATCAAAGTATTAAAAGATGCAGTAGGTTCTTAGCATAAATGAAACGTTATGTATATGCCACCTGCATATTTACATAATTTCATCGTATGTGATGTAAACTGCGATTGATATTCAAATTATTTGTATTTTCGTAGTAAAATTATACCATATGGAATCAGCGATGCGGAGAACATATCCGGATAAGCCGATGCTATAGTCAGCGCGATGCCAAGCATTACGTAAAGATGCGGTTGACAAGGCGTGAGAAAAGATAGCAAACGACTGATACAATCAAAAGTTCCAAATATCTGCACATAATCATGTCTCTACTTTGGAGCAATTAAAAAGTCAGTAACTCTTGTACTCCTAATAAGTAGGGTCCTATCGTTATGCGACATAGAGCAATGGCACATCAACCCGATATTTCTTTGACATGGCAGTGGAAAGGGATAGCTCGTTGGTTTTATTCTTAAATCTGCCATCTTCCTATTATCTTGTTGAAGGAACTACTAAGATTTTGGTGACAGCTGACCCGTCGGATGTCGACGAACATTAGTGGAACTTGATAAATGGCTAATGTATAGTCTCAATTAATCACAATATTATCTAAACTAACTATTAATCAGCGCCAATGTTATCA